CCCCCCCCCAGCCCTCACCATTGATGAACAGCTGGTAACCTCTATTCTGCGTAGAGGAAACCCTAACAAAGCCACTAGCCCTGACAGGCTCAGAGGCAGGGTGCTCAAGGAATGCCCCACCCACCTAGGTGGAGTGTTGACCTGGTTGTTTCAACACCTACTGGACTCTGGCATAGTCCCCAGACAGTGGAAGGAATTGATCATCAATCCAATCCCAAAAAAAGGGCTACAGGCCAGTAGCCCTGACATCAGTGCTCTGTAAATGTATGGAGAAAACAGTTTGTGACCTACTGTTAGGTGATCTGTCAGACAAACTGGATCCTTTCCAGTTTGCCTACAAGCCAAAAAGAGGCACCAAGGATGCAACCGTCATGCTCCTTGACAAAGTCACCAAACACTTGGACTTTTCATCTGCTTTTAACACTGTAAATAATAACACTCTGCTACACCGCCTCTCTGACCTCCAGGTACACCCCACTCTGATTTTATGGATAAAGGACTTTTTAAAAGACAGACCACAGCACATGTTTTTTAATGGTTTCACATCTAGTACACTGACTTTATAGACGGGGCTGTCCCAGGGCTGTGTCCTGTCACCCATTCTTTTCACTGCCTACACAAATGCCATCACCTGCAGCAGTAAAGCAATGATACATTTTAAGCGCAGATGATATGGCCTGGTAGCCCACCTCACTGACATCCAGATCCTGACGCAATACCAGCAGGAAGTCCACAACCTGGTTCAAGCCATTGCCGAAAGCTCACTTGAGCTGAACATCACAAAAACCAAGGAGCTCTGCTGTGGGTATGTGGGGAAAAACCTAGTGGATCTGCTTGTACCACTCAACATCCAGGGTCAGTTGATGGAACAGGTACAGAGTTTCAGATATCTTGGAACAGAGATTGATACCTGCCTGTCCTTCTCACAACATGCTGACTCTGTCGACAAAAAGGCACAACAGCGTCTCCACCTGCTCAGAAAATTGACAACTTTTAACATCAGCAAAGACATTTTAACTCTGGTTTATAGATCACTCATTGAATCCATCCTCAGTTACAACATCTCGTCCTGGTTTAACTTTCTCACTGCCAAACAAAGCAAAACTCTCCCAGATAATAAAGAACCTGAAAGCAGGTGTCTCAGATCAAAAGCCTCTGAGTTTGCGATATAAAACTTTTGATATTTGTGAAGTTGCAACATTTTATGTAGTCTACAGCTGCATTTAGTCTAAAGTTATTGGGCTGAAATGTCAGAGATGAAGTAAAGGGGAGGTCGCCACAGGCTAAAGTCTGGTCAGTCTGCACGACCATTCCTGAAGCCCAATAGACGCCAATGGACAAAGTCATAAAAGTGGAGTTGCATCCAGTAACTAGCATTTTTCTGGCAGTACTACTTTGTTAAACCATTTCTCTGCGCCAGTTTTTTCCCCCATACAGATAAAGTTGAAACAAGAAGTTTACATACACTGTATAAAAAGACATACAACCTTTTTTTTCTCATCATCTGACATTAAATGTGACTAAACTTTTCCTGTTTTAGGTCAGTTGGCATTACCAAAATTATTTCTATTTGTTAAACGCCAGAATAATGAGATAATTTTTTCCTACTTTCTTCAAAGTCAGAAGTTTACATACATTTCCTTAGTATTTGGTAGCATTGCCTTTAAACTGTACGACTTGGGTCAAATCTTTTGGGTTTCCTTCCACAAGCTTCTCACAAAAGCTTGCTGGAATTCTGGCCCATTCCTCCTGACAAAACTGGTGTAACTGAATCAGGTTTGTAAGCTGCCTTGCTCCACACGACTTTTCAGCTCTGCCCACAAATTTTCTACAGGACTGAGATCCAGGCTTTGTAATGGCCACTCCAAAACACTGACTTTGTCGTTCTTAAGCCCCTTTGTGACTAATTTGGCAGTATGCTTAGGGTCACTGTCCATTTGGAAGACCCATTTGTGCAGCCAAGCTGTAACTTCCTGGCTGATGCCTTGAGATGTTGCTTCAATATTTCCACTTAATGTTCTTTCCTCATGATGCCATCTATTTTGTGAAATGTACCAGTTCTTCCTGCAGCCAAACACCCCTACAACATGATGCTACCACCTCCGTACTTCACAGTTGGGATGGTATTTTCAGGTTCGCAAGCTTCCCCCTTTTTCTTCCAAATGTAACGATGGTCATTACGGTAAAACAGTTCCATTTCAGTTTCGTCAGACCACAGGACATGTCTCCAAAAATAAAGATCTTTGTCTCTGTATGCATTTGCAAACTGTAATCTATCTTTTTTATGTTGCTTTTGGAGTAATGTCTTCTTCCTTTTTGAGTATCCTTTCAGCACATGTCGGTACAGGACTTGTTTCACTGCGGACAATGACACTCTCTTATACCAGCTCCAGTCAGCATCTTCACAAGGTCTTTTGCTTTTGTTCTGGGGTTGATACACACATTTCACACCAAAACATGTTCATCTCTAGGTCACAGAGCCCATCTCTTCCTGCGCAGTACGAAGACTGGACATTCCCACTGTATTTGTCCTTGCATATAATTGTTTGAACAGATAAATGTGGAACCTTCAGGCATCTGGAATTGTACCCAAGGAGGAACCAGACTTGTGCAAGTCCACAGTTCTCTTCTAAAGATATCTTGGCTGATTTCTTTAGATTTTCCCATGTTGTCACAAAAGAAAGCAATGTGTTTGAGGTGTGCCTGAAGATACACCCACAGGTGTGCCTCCAGTTAACTCAAATATTATTAATTAACCTATTAAAAGCTTTCAAAACCATCACATCATCTCGGCTTTCCCAAATAGTTTGAAAACTTAGTAATATTAGTTGAAGATTGAAGGCAAATTGAAGACAGTAGTAAAAAACAAACAAACAAAAAATCTAAAAAAATTCTCTATCTCATTATTCTGGCATTTAGGAAATCTAAATAATTTTGGTAATCCTAACTGGCCTAAAACAGGAAAATTTTAGTCAGATTTTATGTCAGACATTGAGGGAAAAAAAGGTTATATGTCTTTTTATACAGTGTATGTAAACTTCTGGTTTCAACTGTATTATTGTCCAATGTTTCAGCTGTCATTTCTGCAGGCGGAGCAGAAATTATACAGTTTGAAGTATTTAATGCTTTCATATACTTAATATATATATAATATCTATTCATGTATGTATTTAAAAAATGACTATTGAATAAAGTGGAATCCCATAATAACCCAGGGCACAGAGACAGTTTTGGGCTAAACCTAGTGCTCTTACTTTGAAACATGCTTTTACTTTGAAACGCGTCTGTGTGGATGTGCGCTGTGAAGGCTGCTCCTTGATGATTCATGTCTAGTGAAGGTGATGCCTGAAAAGTTGGCACACAGAGCTTGATGGTGTGAGTGAACCGGTCGAACCGCAGCTTTATCTCGGCTTTAGAGACTGTAGCGACTGTCAGCGAGTAACGGCTCCGGAGCTCAAGACGACGACATTTTACCGGAGCAGCGAACCTTCCTGAAGTTCTGGTGTCGAGCTGGCAGAGAGGTAACGGCGGCTAACTGCGGCTAGCTAGCTTCAAACAGCCCAGCACAGACCTCCAGTCATTCATATTTACTTACTTTTGGGTTTTCTCGCCCAGCGTTAAGAAACAGGAGGTAAACTAGCTTAACTGAAGTCTCCATAATGTGAAGTGTTGGCGGTCAGACAGTGACACTTGACCGTAGCGCAGCTAACCTGAACTGAAGGAAGGTAACAGGGAGAAAGGACTCATTGATCGTCCCTGCTAGACGTGGCTGAGCTGCAATGAAAGGGTCTTTATTTCCTCCCAGGCTGAGACGGTGAGACTGGTGACTGTCACTGAGTGTAGCACCGGTGTACCAGCTCATGTGGAGGTTTCAACAGGATATGTAGAAACCCTAAACTGTTAAGTGTTAGATAGGAGTAGTTTGGCTTTTTGTAGTGATTCAGCTTTTAGAAGTTAACTCTTGAAAAGTTGAGACACTTTTTTTTTTTTTTTTTTTTTTAGCTTAACTAGACAGTTTTTTTTTTTTTTTTTTTTAGCTCAGTGAGATATATGGGCAGATGAATGGGGATGCACTTTCCTATGTAGCATTGGGCTGCAGCAAATGGTTGTTTCAATTATCAGTAAATCTGACAACTGTTTTTACTGAGGTGATGTATTTAAATGGCTTAAATAGTCATCTTCAACTCAGAAGCTTGAACTAGTAAATGTTTGATGTTTGAAATGCTTGAAAGAACAACTCAATACCAATCTCAGTACCAGCTTCTAGTAATCAAGTAGACTGATAACTGAAAACAACATATATTTGCAAAACAAAACAAAAAAATCTTGGTGTCAAAATTTAGAATAACACACATTTCAACACATAACTTGTTAAACTTGCTGAAATGGTTTGTTTAATTATCTTTTACATTTTGTGGTCCTTCCAGTCTGCTGCAGCCAGAGACTGGAATGACTTACAAAAAACACTAAGGCTACATGCCCTCATCTCCAAGCTGGTGTTTAAAGTTCTATTTTAAACTATTTTAAAAGAAAAATGTTGCAGTCACGTAGACTGCTGGCCTGTCCTGCGCATTTTGTGTGTGTATTTTAGCTGTGTCTTTGTAAATACCCTGTTTATATTGTATGTTTGTTTGATCTATTGTTTAAATTGTCTTGTTTAAATTGAATCTTATTTTGTTTATTTAGACCCCCTTGTTCCTTTCCCTAAAAAAGGCCTCGCCCTTTTGCCAGGCCACAGCTGAAAATAAGAACTGTGCTCCTAATCTGTTTTGCCTGGTTAAATAAAGGTCCAAAAAAAAAAAAAAAAAAAAATTTACGTAGGTTTTTGAGGTGCTTCAGTATAAAGCAGCTGGACTTTTCTTTTCAATTCTAGTAAGGTTCAAGAATCTAAAGTCCAGTCGCTTTCTTACTGAAACTTGTGTTCCCATGACCTGGATGACTGAGAATCTACACAGACATATTTACATGTGTTTAATTAAAACAAAACTTCTCACTGTTTGCCCTTCAGTGTTTTACGCTATTGTTACTGACAGGTAATCAATCATACAGTGCTGCGGGCGGGACATCGCCCGAAACCTATAATCACCATAGTCAGGACTATAGATAGAGAGAAGCAGTTACATCAGAGCCAAAATAGCACATTTACATTTAAAAAAAAGAAAAAGAAATCGCCTAAAAAGTAACAACACAAATAATCAGTGTTGAAATGATGAGTCAAATAATTTGGCTTATCAACTGGAAATTTGTCGTGTTTATTTTGTGATTTAACTAATCAACTAATTTTTTGACTCCTTTTTTTTAGCTTCACATGTAAGAACTGTCTCTAATTTGTCATAGTACTGTAAACTGAATATCTTACAGCTTAGAGCTTTTATTTCAAAGAACAAAACCAAAATATTTGGAAGGTCCTCTGCAGCATTTTTAGCATTTTTTTCACCGTTGTCTGACTATGGCAGACTAATTATTAAAAACAGTAGTTATTAATAGCCCCTACAAAATGTACAGGAAGGACTGATGGAGGGATTGTATTGGTAGTTTAAACGCACAGGGAAGTATAGGTGCTTAATCATGCTTCATGTATTATGTTCTCTCTGTATTTTGACAGATGTTTCAGATAAAAAGGATCTGTTGTATTGGTGCTGGATACGTAGGAGGCCCAACATGCAGTGTGATCGCCGAGATGTGTCCAGAGATCACAGTCACTGTTGTGGATGTCAATGAGTCTCGTATCAAAGCCTGGAACTCAGACACCCTGCCCATTTATGAGGTAACGTATCAGTGTTAGTATCCAAAAATCTGGGCTAAAGGTACTGTTATATCAGGATTAATTGTGCGATTTCTGGTTAAACTTTAATGAGGCGAAGCAGGTCATAGTTTAATGACATCTGCTCTGATATGGCCTGTGTGTTTTTCCCTACATTCTTATCTCACCTTTGAGATTCAAAGAGTTATTGGTTTAATTAGTTGAACTCAATGAAAGTGTTGAAGAAGTAGCAGTAGCTAGGCAACTGTTCCAGCCAATGTGTTTTTCAAGTATTACTTCACCTCATGAGCTGAACGAGGCACTAATTAGTTCCAGGCGGTTTTGCAACTTCTCTACGTCAACCCCAGCCACAGAGTGTTGCGTCATCATGGCTAGTGTTGGGCAGCTAGTGGCCGGTCATTGTGAGCTCATGTTGCATTTGTAACTGTTTGTGTCATGTTTTCCAAACACATTCACTAACGCAGCCCCCCACTTCCTCCCATTTCAGCCGGGACTGAAAGAGGTGGTTGAATCATGCAGAGGGAGAAACTTGTTTTTTTCTACAGACATTGACTCAGCCATCAGGGATGCCGACCTCGTCTTTATCTCTGTGAGTTCATCAGTTTCCCCATCACACACACATACCACATGTGTTTTTGGGGTTTTGTTGCAGTTTGGCTAGCTCATAAGTTAAATCTAACATTTCTAACATTATCTTCCACAGGTCAACACCCCGACCAAAACCTATGGGATGGGAAAGGGTCGCGCTGCCGACCTGAAGTTCATCGAGGCGTGTGCTCGGCGGATCGTAGAAGTGTCTGATGGCTACAAGATTGTCACAGAGAAGAGCACAGTGCCAGTACGAGCTGCAGAGAGCATCAGACGGATATTTGATGCCAACACCAAACCCAGCCTCAACCTACACGTGTGTATTATATCACATGTACCAAACCCTGATATTTGTCATTGTTGTGCTTGTTTGTAAAGTTGTGCCTCTGCTTTAGGTGCTGTCCAACCCAGAGTTCCTTGCAGAAGGAACAGCAGTGCGGGATCTGAAGGAGCCAGACAGAGTCCTGATTGGTGGAGACGAGACAGCTGAAGGTCAAAAAGCGATCAAAGCACTGTGTGCCGTCTACGAACACTGGGTCCCCAAGGCCCGAATCATCACCACCAACACATGGTCGTCTGAGCTGTCCAAACTGGTGAGTGTAGGGCTGCTACAGTCATTATTTTTTATTGTTTTTTTCTCTTGAATTTTGTAGTTTTACAATCGTAACGGTGAAAGAAAAAAATGCAGCATGCATGTTTTGTCTGCTTGTTCAGGCAGCCAATGCGTTCCTGGCACAGCGAATCAGCAGCATCAACAGTATCAGTGCTCTGTGTGAAGCCACTGGAGCTGACGTGGAGGAGGTCGCCAAGGCAATTGGCATGGACCAGAGAATAGGCAGCAAGTTCCTTAAAGCCAGTGTGGGTAAGAGACGCACACACAGGATGCTAAAAATGGGCTGCTGTGTTCATTTTATATCAGATGAAGTCAGAATAATTCTCTTTGCTTCTCCGGCCAGGTTTTGGTGGGAGCTGCTTCCAGAAGGATGTGCTGAATCTGGTGTATCTGTGCGAGGCCCTCAACCTGCCGGAGGTGGCTTCCTACTGGCAGCAGGTGAGAACAACACATAAGGCAGTGCATCTTATTTTTAATTTTGTTAGCGGTCTTACAGTAGCTCCTTTTCTGATTTTCTCAGGTGATAGACATGAATGAGTACCAAAGAAGGCGGTTTGCCTGCAGGATCATTGACTGTCTCTTCAACACTGTCACTGGCAAAAAGATCGCTCTGCTGGGCTTCTCTTTCAAAAAAGACACTGGTGACACAAGGTGAGTCTCTTTTCAGTTTCCTTGCAGTGCACTTTCTTCTCACACCCTTGTAAGCATTTGTTCAGTTCCAATTCTTTTTGAACTTGTTAATCATAAACCTGCTGTTGTGTGCCTGAAATACCACAAGAAGTGTGTTGATCACACTTTACTCCACCTGAACACCTGCCAACAAGCTGCAGTGAACTGTAACCCTGGTCAGAGTTGACACTTGAGTGTGTGTGTTTCGCAATTCCAGGGAGTCATCCAGCATCTACATTTCGAAGTATCTGATGGATGAGGGTGCCAAGCTGTTCATCTATGACCCCAAAGTTCTTAAAGAGCAAATCATTCATGACCTCTCCCAGCCCAACATCTCAGAGGACAACCCAGAAAGAGGTGTGTGTGCTTATCAAGGCTGCAGTTTCCATTGCAGTGCTGGAAAAGTTGATACACCATAAGTGGTCTAGCAGTAAAGATGCACAAAAATTTGGTCCAAGAAAATATGACTCATTGCCAACTCACGATTTAAGGACTGGTAGGACATTTCGAGGAATACACCGATTTACTGTCCTGCTGAATGTTGATTAAGCAGATCAGTACCGCTCGTGTCTGTACATTACCAAAGGAGGTGAAGGGAGGTGACTAGCTTTGCATAAAGACTGGAAGCCGGGGGAAACAGATTCTGCTCACTCCAGCGATCAGTAGCTGCCCTGGCAGCAGTTTCCCATTAAATCAACATTTTAGCTGATTAAACAAACAGGATATAATGTCATGATAAGCGAGCGTTAGAAGTGCTGGCAGGTGGATTTAGTTACCTTTGGACAGAAAGCTTATGCAAAGCTAACGTTCTACACGTTCCAACTCGACACGTGACACACAAACATGGGACTGTGAAGTATGCCAGCCAGACAACGAATCAGATGTGATTAAAGTGCACACACGTGAAACAGACTGCCGAATTTTAATAGCTGGGTGGTTGTTTGGGATGTAACTTTATTTATATATCACCACTGTCCAGCGGAAGCCAGCTCCTTTTTAAAAAAATTTTTTTGACCTCTCAGGTGAGGGATTACATTTTCATATTTGCTTTACAAAAAAACTTGTTAATCGAAAGAAACCATAAAACTTAACTGATTACCTAAAGCAGAACTGTCTGATGTGGTTTTCGCTAAACAGCAATGATATGCTCACTAGCCGGTATGCAGTGATTCAGATACAATACAAGGTAAACATGTATTATTATTATTATTATTATTATTATTATTAATAAACCAGTGTAACTCTGGTAGTAGTTTCTTGATTTCTGAATTACCTATGAAGCACTGTTTAGCTGATAGAGTAACTGGTCATTAATGAGTTTATTAGAAAACAATAATTTCATGTTTTCAACCAAATATTCAAAAAATTATTTCTTCTGAATGCCAGATTATGATTAGCGGTTTGTGAGACATAGTTCATTCACTGACACAGACTTATCTTGTTGTTGATTTTCAGTGTCTGAGCTGGTTACTGTAACTTCAGACCCTTACGAGGCCTGCCAGAGTGCACACGCGTTGGTCATCTGCACTGAGTGGGACATGTTCAAGGTCACAATCATGCTTCACTTTCTAATAAACTACAACATTTAAAAGGAATCTGTGAGCATAAATGTTATTTCAGTGTCCCTCTAATACCACCACAGGAACTGGACTACGAGAAGATTTACAAGAAGATGCTGAAGCCGGCCTTTGTATTTGATGGTCGCAGAGTGCTGGATCACCTTCACCATGACCTCCAGACAATTGGCTTCCAAGTGAGCAGACAAAAAAAAAAATGCAACACATCCTTCTTACAGAAAATCAAAGTGGGGCAAATGAAGGACAAAGAGTTACCTGGCTTCTTTTCTGTCCACAGATCGAGACCATTGGCAAGAAAGTGACAGCAGCACGAATCCCCTACACCCCGGCAGGCGTTGGTGCTCGCATGCCTGCCCCCGAACCTCCCAGCAAGAAAACAAAAGTCTAAAACTCATTTTGCTGTCACACACTATGTGCAACACATTCCTCTCTCAGCCTTTTCATAGCTGGTGAAACATTTGACTGAGGTCCCACCTCCCAGGCCTAATCATAAAAAGAGCCAAACGGTGAGACTAATTGCTCCCCTGCCGTGGGTTTGATGAGAGGAACAAGTCAGTCGAGCCTTGAATCAAAAATTGTGGGAATGTTTTTTGAAAGAATTACATTAAAAGATCATTCCAGACACACGGTTAATTTTATACAATCTATGCTGAACAACATTTCAGATACATGACCTGTCTGTTGTACTTATTTTAAAGCAACACTATCAACGTGAGTCTACTTTCTTACAGTATCAATTATATAATCAAATATTACAAATTTTTATACTATTTTTTAAAACTATTTTTATAAATCAACTGTATGTTAATTAGTATGTTCTCTGAATTTATGGCTGTTTACAAAAAAGGGCCAATGCAATAAAGTATTGTTTATCCTTAATGTGTGCTTCTTGATTATTTCAATACTGAAGTTGGAAAAAGAAAAATGGCATAAAAACAGAAGAGTGGACTGAAGACTTTTAATACTTTAAATACAAATGTGCACTTTACAGATTTGTTAACTGACGAGTGTGTAAAACCAACAAATATAATGTCCAGGTGTTAAATTTCAACTACATTACACTAGAAAAGCTACAGTTTCCCCATTGTGACTTTTCTGCAGAAACAGAAGTATTTAAAAGTAAAATGCCTCTTTTAATACTCATGTGCCTGATGAAAGGCCATTCTGGGTTCGACTTGTACTTTTTCTAACATAATACAAAATATTTCAAAGGGAGGGTTCTTGTTTGGTATCACATAATTTCACCCCTGAGTCGCTGCAAGACTCGAATCAAAAACATCTCCTGCTTCATTAAATCATCCATCCTGAAGCAGCAAGACATCAAAGCGCTCAGAAACAGAGCTTGCTGTTAAAGGTCAGCGGCTTTCCACCTGATGTCCGGTAAGGGGAGTGCGGATGGTGGATGTGATTTAGGGCCCCCTGAAGAGCAGAGAAGTCAAATTACAGCCTTGACTCAAACCAGGTTGTGTTTTCTCCTGGAAGGACGCAGTCTACGCGCTACATATCTGTGGGCGTCTTACTGCCGTTTGTTCTCTTTGATGTTGAAGTGCAGACCTCTGGGTTGTCACAGAAACAGAAGTGACAGAATGGTCCAACATAAGTCACGTTAGTGTCACTTCTGCACATTTATCTAACACCACCCACCTTTCTTTTTTTAAACTGCACAACTTCCTATACTCGTTATTTTACAAAAAAATTTTGTGCTAAAGCTTAAAACAGTGTATTGTGGTACTGAGTCATATTTTGTCACAGTTACGATGTGGAGCTGCAGGTAGGGACGAGGGGGAAAACAGACGCTGAGCAGCTTCCACAAGCTTCTCATTCTGCTATAGTGACTTCTGCTTTTCTCTTCTTCAGTAGATTCTTCAGGAAGAACTCGCCTGTGAAGAGAAGTAAAGCAAGCATTAATAAGAAATACTCTCTTCTCATTTTTTTTGTCTTACATGATTATTATTTAGCCCTGTGATAGACTGGCGACCGGTCCAGGGTGTCCCCTGCCTTCGTCCTAAGTCGGCTGGGATAGGCTCCAGCCCCCCTGCGACCCTAGTGCGGATTAAGCGGTGTATAGATAATGGATGGATGGATGGATTATTATTTACTAGAAGTATTATTTTTGACAAACTGAGCTGCTGTGTAGAGGGTATGTTCACCAAAACATTTTCTCACTTAAGTGGTATCATTGCCACGCAGTTTTACGTGCTGAGCTGCGACATCTGTCTTTATTTTATTTTTTCATACTCAAACGCTTCAGTTTTTGCAGTTATTATTTATTACTACTAACATTAACCTTCAAAGAAATAAAAGAAAACCACAATGCTTGTCTTTTAGCCACATTTTCTCCCTGCATGCTTCAAAATAAAACACATTAAGTAAAGAAATAATCGTCAAAAATAAAAAATACTGTGTTTTTCTTGATTGATATCTTCTCAACCCATAAATTACCTTGATTATTTGACGTAATTATTGTATAATAATTATTTCTTGGTTAATTATTATAATATTGGAGTTATCTCAGATTTCTAAATGTCACAAAACCCTCCTTTCGTTTTCCACTTGTCTGATTTCTGTTGCTGATGCAGTGCCACAGATTTGTCTTGACTTTTATTTATGGTGCTCAAAGTATCGAAAAATGCAATTAAAAACACAACATGCACTTGCAGAAATAATTTACTATTTCATAATCCCTCCCAAAATGATTGCCACTTCAGTTTCCTGAATGACATTTGTGCTGATTTTTTAAAAATATATTAATTTACCATGCACATCATTTCATCACCTTGATTAATTCTGATTATTCGCAAAAAACCTAAGAGGTGAACGCTTGTAAACCTAGGAGGAGAAACAGCTAGAGTTCAAATATTTACTATTCTTTGCAATTTTGCTGAGCATGTTGCATAAAAATGTAAGGTCATTGTTTGTTGAATAACATGGTTACCTATAAACGCATTCTTCAAGGGATAAACCCAACTCTCTAAAAACTGCAAGACGACATCTCACCTGCTTTGTAGGAGGATCGCACCAGTGGCCCGCTGGCTGTGTAGACGAACCCCATGTCATTCCCAACTTTCTCCCAGTGAGCAAATTTCTCCGGTGTGACGTATTCCTCCACCTAAATCCAAACACACATTGTCATGATGTGCATCTATTTCCCATCATTGTGGTTCTAGTGAAACAAGAGAAGAGTCCTCGTACCTTTAGGTGGCGTTTAGTGGGCTGCATGTACTGCCCAAGTGTTAGACAGTCCACTCTGGCCTCTCGCAGCTCTGTAACATCATCACAACACTAATGTTAAAAAACTTGTAAAATTATTTCTGTGTGTGACTGCACTGTTTACACACCGGTCAGAGTGTTCATTATCTGTTCATCAGACTCCCCCAGTCCCAGCATGATGGAGGTCTTGGTGAGCACAGTGGGGTTGACCTTCTTGGCGTGTTTCAGGACACTCAGAGACTGATCAATGTTTGCTCTGGGGTCACGTACGTACCTGGAAACAGACAATATACAGACATCCTGAGCAACTTAAACAGATAATCAAAGAGAACAACTAGAAAAACGACTACAGTGTTTTGTCTTGTTCTTTTTTTAACCATGTTTCTTATACTGGCTAACATGTCTTTTGTGCTCTCTTTCATACATCTTCAATTACTTTCCTATGATATACAAACTACTTTTTTGCACTACTGTTAACTCCACAGGTCACTTTACTATTTTTCACTGTTGCACCTTATAGCATTTTTGCTGCTGTATATTTTGACATCTTATATTTTAATATATACTTTCATATTTATTACACATACTTTTATATTCTAAATCTGTGCTTAGCTAATTGCAACTGAATTTTGTTCCGTGTGCACTTATTGTATACTGAATGACAATAAAGTCTGTCTCAGTGTGTTTACAACTCAGCACTTCATCTAGCAGTTACAGTAACATCAGAAAAATGTCTCTCATGCACCATCTGCTGGTCAGAATGTGCTACTGTCCTCCCCTCCCAGATCGGCAATTCTACATCAGTGCACTCTGTCAACTACACTATCCATCCATTATCTGTACACCGCTTAATCCTCACTAGGGTCCCGGGGGGCGGGGCTGGAGCCTATCCCAGATGACTTAGGGCGCACGCAGGGGACACCCTGGACAGGTTGCCAGTTTATTGCAGGGCTACATTTAGAGACAGACAACCAAGCACGCTTACATTCACACCAATTAACCTCAACATGTTTTTGGACTATGTGCGAGGAAGAGAACCCACGCTGTACGGGGAGAACATGCAAACTCCATGCAGAAAGATCCCGGTGTCTTCACCGGGACGCGAACCGACGACCTTCTGGCTGCAAGGCAACAGTGCTAACCACCGAGTCACCTTGCAGCCCGTCAACTACACTATGTCTTTTAAAAGAATAAAAACAAAATTTAACCAGATTTTACACAAACCTGCTTTACTGTAGATAGTTAAAATGTATATTTATAAACATAAGCTAGAAATTTTGTTTAACTTTTTAACAGATGAACATTTTTTTAATGCTCTTGTCTATTATTTTAAATGCAATTTCATAGTGTGCAAAACACAAAGAAAGAAATGGTTCTAATTCCTCAATAACCCTGTTGTTCTTTGGCTAGTTGGCTGATTAAAAGCTTTTTAACTGAAGAACTGATGGATTCACATGTTGAAAAAGAAATAACATGCTTAGCTTTTAACTTTGAGAATTCACCATCTTATAAAAACACGACATAATATGTAATCAGCTGGTAAAATATAGTGAAGACATGCCAGGTCTCAGTACCTTTGCAGCTCACGCACTGTCTCCACATTGTGGGCGTACACATCTAACCCTGACAGGGCGATCTTCTCCACTGCTGCCAGGTCACCACGGAAATCTGGGGTCAGACATTCAACCAGGATCTGATGGTTTCTAGATCAAGATGACAAAAGTGCTTATTCATTCATTTTGTGCAGACAGTAAGATACAAACAGTAGATTAATCCCAAAGCGATGGGAGGTTTTACCTTTCCTTCAGATTAGAGACGGTCTTTGCAAAGTGCTCTGCTCCTCCATCAGCAATGTCTTCAAAATGCAAAAAGAAGGAAGTGTCACAACAACATGTTGATATAAATGTATTCTATAATTTGAAAACCTGCTTGCAGTGTTTGTCTTGAATCTATGGGCACTTATGTTTTCTGTAAACATTTAAACTATTTCTAGTATTGTTCTGTTGAGTAAAATATGCTGGAAAATATGATGATGCAAAGTTGTGGTTTTGCTTACTTCTAAGCTCTGTGACCTCATATTCTCATATAAAAGCCTGGTGAAGGCAGACTTTTGCAGAACAAAAATGTAAGCTGGAAGTGAGTCTCAACATAAATCTGCACCAAAAATCTGGATTATCAGGATTACTTTGATGAATAAAGCCCTGAATATATGTGTTGATCTTCCAGCTGGAAGAGGGTTTCTTGTTTCTCTTTTAAAAATATAAGTTACTTTGTAAGATGGTGCAAAGTTGCACCACAGTTGAATAAAGAAGGTGCACTGAGGTAAGAAATCATTACCATCTCTGTCGACTGAGGTGAGAACCACGTAGTCCAGCCCCCAGGCAGCGATGGCCTTGGCTGTGTTGTACGGTTCGTCTGGGTCCAGTGGCGGGGGCTTACGGGCCGTCTTTATTGAGCAGAACCTGCACCCACGGGTGCATGTATCTCCCATCAGCTACACATAGAGAACATTTCAGATTATGCAGATAAGTATACATGTAGTACACGTAAAATGCTTCCTTGTTAAAATCATTGAACTTGTCTATGGCTAGAAGTAAATGCAACTGCACAGAGACTCACCATGATGGTGGCTGTTGCTGTGGCGTACTCTCCTCCTCCCCAACATTCACCGATGTTTGGGCATCTGGCCTCCTCACACACCTGAGAAAACACACACAAGTCAGGAGTACTATGAACGATTCTATAAATTGATAAACTGCAAAATAAATGCTTTTCAGTTTTGATAAGCATGTCACAAAAATGTTCAAATCTGAATTTGCACATACTGAGTGCATTCTGTAAATAGGTGAATCTTGGCACTTGGTAATGACAAAGAGAGCCAATAATTTAATTACACTGACAGCCTGTTTGTTGCTGCATATGACAATAAAGCCTTTAAATCCTTTGAACCTCTGAAAGGCAAGAAGCAGTATCAAGGTAAAACTTATACAACTGTAATGTAAATAAGCTGAGCCCTTCTAAGGTGGCACTTACAAAGTTTTAGTGTGTTTGTAGCATCATTAGTTAAATCTCACAAAACTTACCGTGTGCAGGTTGAGGTCTCTTAGCGTATTCTTCAGCCTGTTGAAGTTCTTTCCAATGGGGATCTCCGTCTTTAGCCATGGAGGAAGCCGAAGCCTATGGAGAAAGCATAGTCGGTTACAACATAGTAAAAAGTAACTTGTGTGAAAATCCAATTCAGATAGAAATATCACCTGCAAAATCATCAGGAAAATAAACGCCGCAAACAATGAGGCTCAGAAGCTTTAAATATCCATACTGCCTTAGGGCAGTCCTACTAAATATTGGGCCACGTTACCTGAAATGTTCCAATACAACCAGAGACACTGAAAGCTACCTCAGTATATACACAATACTCAACATTATCTGAATCTCTTCATATGTTGATACAGTATGTAAATAGTCTTACAATATGCAATCCCAGAGAATTTTGGTGGCACAACTGTGCAATATAAAACAATCCAATACAACAGTTATATCATAAATTCCGTATCTACACAGCTTTCACCTTTTTATTTTTTTTGGACACTGTCAGTAAAGTAATTTCACTTTAGGTTTATTTGTGAGGATGTAGTGAGTGGTAGTGGAATGTAGTGTATTTGACTGAAAATAGTTCCTAAAGTTCTGCTCATACCATTAAAATACACGAAAGGGGCAAATACTATGATATCAATACATTTGTGCCTGTTTTTTAGACACTGTGAACAGAGACAATCTACAGTCTGAACATGGATCAGTACATGATGCCAAAAGGAGTTTTCATGAGCGATAACAAAAGTTATCATCAAAACCGATTACATGGTGTATAAAATGCCAATTGTAATTGAAGAGAAGTAAAAATACAAGATTAGGAAACAGCCATGGAACTATATCTATCTCATGGAAACCTTGCACATACCTCAGGACAATAATTTGCACTGGACTAGAATTTGCACATGCACATGCCACTTATACTGTCCGCTTTAAATACTGTAGTTTGTACTGTAAATACCTCCTTTGCTTTAATATTTTACATTTTATACTTTATATTTATATATATATATTTATCTTTCCTTTCACGTTTTTTTTTGTCTTATTTTATTTTATTTTACTTTTGTATTGCTGCCAAAAAAGGAATGCTACAACATTTCACTGCTGTAACACTGTCTTTTTAGCATTGCTTCCACAGTGACAATAAAGAACTATTCTATTCTATTCTATTCTATTCTATTTCTATTCTAAAATCTCTTAGAAACTAAACTACATGTCATTTTAACAGATTCTTTCCCACAGATGTCAGATCTTCTGTAAAGTGTAGCTTTGATACATGACTGATGTTAAACTGCAGCACCCTAATAAAGGTCACATCCACTCATGTAAATGGACTTTGTTCAGACATTCATCTAAACTTGTACTTTTTTTGGTACAAAAAATGCAATATAAAAAAACACAGAGTGCATGTATGGCATATATACACACAATATACATATATGCATATAACAATATGCAGTATAAAGACATGTATTCTTCACAGTTTACTATATCTGTTCTTTCTTACAGTTCTGCTTCACTGTTTGTTCACTTACACTCTTAGACTGAGAGGTTTTTGTGATTTGACAAAAAAGAAATGTCTCAGCACATGTATCTATACTGTCCTGCAGTGTTTTATAGGTGAGGAGGGGCACCTGCATCAACATCATGTACATTAAACACACTTAACTAATAGGAAAACTGATTTCAGCTGCTATTTCACCCAGTGATTGTAAGGTAAGATGTTTGAAAATCTGTGTAGTATTACTCACAATTTGAAAATTGTGACAGCAAAAACACCTATGCTGATTCAGCTCAGCACATTCAAATAAGGCTTTGTATCACATGATCTTTGAACGCCTCTGATAACACACAAGGGCGACTTGTCTTTAACCTGTAGCAGCTGAACATTCCTACTTTCTGCTTCCTTTAACTGGACATGTGCAATGTAAACACTAATGACGTTGTTTTATAACACAACAGTTCTGGAGCTTCATTTCCGTCTTTACAACCAGAGTTTCACCAGCATGTTTCGAGTCTTAGCTACATTATATAACCCACAGAAGAGGCACTACATCTGAATATAGTTGCATTATAGAAAGCTGCCTCACCTCTCTCCCTTCTGTCTCTTCAGGTTGCCTTTGTACTCTTCCCACTTGGTTTTCTCTGACAGTTCCCCCGAAATAAAGTCCTGCAGATCAGGTCCGTCATCGCTCAGCAGCTCCTTCTTTCTGTCAGCTCTGACTGGGGAGGATTTGGCAGCAGTTGTCAGACTGCTGGTATAAACCTACAGAGGAAACACTGAGGGTTACTTCACTAGTCGGGGTAAGTTCACTGACATGAATCCACGCACCAAGTTATAAACATCCTGACAGCAGCTCCACAGCTGAGTTACCAAACACTGCAGGCTGTAGTTAACTCAAGGCCAAGGGACAGGCTCCTGCTGGTAAATCACCCACAACATCAAAGTTTGTTGATTAGAGATCATTCAAGTTGAAATACTCACATGTGGGACACATCTGGGACTCAGCCAAAGATGGTTTGTGGAGAAGCGACCCGCGACGCAGCAACTTTGTTTGAGCAGCGCCATGACTTTAGCTAGCAAGCGGCTGTCATTAGCAACGAGCGTTGGCGAGCGGCTACTTTGGTCTGATGCTGCATTCATGGCATAACGACAGAGTGAGGAAGATAGAAGTTTAGGGATTGATCATCGGTTATTCAGTCAAATTAATTTTTTGGTTTTGCTTTGTTTTGTTATTGGTTTCTTTAAAGACACAACAACTTTAAGTCATCAAGGTAAGTCACAATTAGGCTAAAACATGTTTTGAAAGGAAGACCAGGCGGAGATTGCAGCTTAAAGAACTGCAGACAAAACAAAAGCAGGCAACAGATTAAACAGAACTTAAAGACTAATATATTAAAAATGTTCACTAAGAGATGGTCATTACAAAGCACGCACATCAACTGTGAAATTACATTTAAAGAGTAAAAAACTATTTATTCAGTAAGCTGAATTATAACACCGAATTTGGTTTACATGTAACTGCCAGCGAATGCGGATTTGGAACAATTTTGCCACATATATAGTGAAACTGACTTGAGTGGTAGTAACCTTAGATACGTATAATAAAGCCTTTATTATACATATCTATGGCAGTAACTGCAGTTTGAAAGACTGCTGTTGACGTTTTTCTATATTACCGGTCTGTACGATTGGACTTGAACGCGGCAGAGCCAAACAGCATCACATGTTGCTTATGGCCAGACAGTTAAATGACTATTCCGTCCAGAGTGCCGAGTGGTTTTGCGCTTTTTTCTTTCAAATAAAAAAATTCTCTTATTATCTTTAATATATCTATACTTCCAAAATTTATGATCTGATCATAAATAAATTCTTCGATTGGCTCGTACTGCCTGCTGACGGCACGTACGTGCTCTACAACTGCGTGGTGACGTCCTTCCTTCCTCCTTTCCTCTGCTACCGGCGAGGTGAGGATAGCTGAAAGACTTGTTTCTTGGGTTTCATCTAACTCCATCTGCGTATATTGAACATATTTATGGCTCACTTCTGAACAGTCAGATACAGACAGTGTTGTATATCACAACATGAGCTATATTTTACCATTATTTTGTGTTTGTCTGGAGATATGTTAGTAGGTTTGTCAGATTGACTGTATGTTTGAGGCCTTACGCTCTGGTCATGCTAACAGCCGCAGCGAGTTAAACATTGTCATTAAAGATAGTGTTTGTATGGTGTCATGTGCTAGTCAAGTCCAGTAACATGTTAAAGAAATGTAACTTCAGTAGTAGAGAAGGAGACGCCGGCGTTAATGCCTAATGTAGCTTTATGTTAGCATTAACGCTAAAGCTAGCTGATTCAATGCAGTGTGGCTGCGTTCCGTTTCTTTTGCTTAACGCTGAATCTCTGTGTCCTACAGTTTACTGATCACTTTTACTAAGAAACATGTGGAATCACAAGATTGATATTATGGTACAGCTGCTCAGTGTGTGACATGCTACACCCATGGGTCACTGTACTATTTAATCTGAGTGTCACAGCTGTAACTTGATAAATACAAATGTCACTTGAAAAGCTTGCAGGCAAGGTTCAGAGTGAAACTCACAGTTTGTCTCTTTGTAGAATGAAGACCATTCTCAGCAGTCAGACTGTCGACCTCCCCGACGATGGTACGAAACTGGTGATTTCTGCAGACTTTGAGGATAAATCTATTTTCTTCTATAACTTGTGTAGAGTTTGGTCTCTTATTGTTTGTCTCTTTTTTTCTGTCTTCCTGCTGTGTGGCATTGGCAGTCGAGGTGAGGTTGAAGGGGCGAACAGTGATCGTCAAGGGGCCCCGTGGTAAGCTCACCAGGGAGTTCAACCACATCAACCTGGAGCTCAGCCTGCTGGGCAAGAAACAGAAGAAGGTAAGAAGGAGCAGGGCTTGTTGGTTTGAAGTGATGCGAATTGTGATGTACTCTGAAAATGTACTGTAAAAAATAAAACTAAGAACTCTAATGTGAGAACTGTTTCGCACAAGAACACATAGGAGGTGCAGCTCAAATGTTACCTCAAAATGTAAGAACTGTGTTCAGTTATGAAGAATTTGTGATATTTTTTTAATGCCACATGTATTAAAATGAATTAGTCAGTTCCATTGATTTTGATAACAGCGCAAATCATGACTTTGAAAAAGGAAAAAACATTGTACTAGTCACAGGGAGGTTATAACACTATATTAAGGATTACTCAGGCCTTTCAGCTGTATCTCGCTGCAGCATTTTTACAAAATATGATTAAGAATATGGTACCATAACAGCAACCTGTCTGGAAAGATGGAACAAGAAAAACTTGTCATGTGGATGGTTTTTCTGTTGTCATATTTACACGTCTGTAGTAAGCAAAAAAGGAATAGTCCTAAAAAACAGTAACCTTCAACCCTCCTTCATAAACTTAAAGTAGTATAAATGCCTTCAGAAGAGTTAATTTTTCCAGTTCATAATGGGCTTGTGTCCAAAGTGCTAAGGAAGAATTGTGTAATTGATTGACACTGTAATTTACTTTTACTTGGAGGGTCTAGTGATTAATTTTGTCGGTAGACTGATTGTCTTGGTGCTAGTTAAGTTTGATATAAATGATGCGAGTTGCTGTGTTGTCATCCTCAGCTTCGTGTGGATAAATGGTGGGGAAACAGGAAGGAGCTGGCCACAGTCCGCACCATCTGCAGCCACGTCCAGAACATGATCAAGGGAGTCACTCTGGTAAGGCTTTCGTTCAATGTGTAGCTGAATGAAACTGTCAAACTGCTATAAACCCTGTGCGTGGCCCCAATGGTGGGCTCAGTATATTCTGTAGTTGTACTGTCTATTATGTGACTGTATAGACTGATGCTGCCTGTTGTTAAAGGATTGACTTTGTTTGCTTTATCAGTCTAAATCAGCGCCTCTCCCCTTCTGTCTGACTGCAGGGTTTCCGGTACAAAATGCGTTCCGTGTACGCCCATTTCCCCATCAACGTCGTCATTCAGGAGAGTGGAACTCTGGTGGAAATCAGGAACTTTCTGGGAGAGAAGTACATCCGCCGTGTCCGCATGAGGGCTGGTGAGTGTGATGGAACTATTGCAGTACTTTGTTTCGTTTACAGTCATATCCAACACAAGTATTTAGGTCCTGGGCTTGAGGAGCTTGAATTAGCAAATGTTGGAAATTTTAACTTATGAAAATTGCTGAAGCAGTTGATAATAAAAATAGTGGCCCATTAATCTTTGTGGAAAAAACTCTGTTGTTGCCATAAAGTACGTGTGCTCATTGATCTGCATCCTGCACACAATGATTTAAAATATTTAACAGAGACTGAGCAGTACAGTAAAATGTTTATAGGTGGATAAATTTTAGGAGCCTTGGAGTAAATTTGCTAGATCTCCTAAACATGCTGACATGTGGTAAAACATGGTTAATTGCTAGCCTCCCATTCAAACAAGTTTAATATTCTTTTGAACTAATCTCTTTTTCTCTGTTTAACCAACATTAAAGCCTTGTTTATGCTCCCTTGTGGACGCTGACATCCGGCAGGCACCACAGACGTGTAGTTACTTTGTCTGTTTCATACATGTGGTGGTCACCACAGTCTACGTATTATGGGCAAGCACAATATTTATGTTACATATATTTACGACTTTAGTCCCAGAAACTAAAACTGTAATCCTAGAGGTTTAGTTTTTGTCTTGCAGAGGACATTTTGAAGGCGTAAACACCTACAAGGAAGCAAGTCATTTTACAATATATAATTGCCATTAAAGCAGTTGCAACACATTTTCTATGAATTCATAAACTTGATGAAAATTGCTAAGTAAGCCAACCTGATGTTGTCTTGTATTTCGACGGTGTGATATCTCAAGCCTCATAGATTTGTCTCATTACTTTGGGTTTTCTGGAATCAAACGCTGCATTTTCTTCAGCATATTGGCCGCTGCAGACCCAGACTAAGTGTAATCAAAAGACAAATTTATAACTGAAGTGGATTTTAATATTCAGTTGTTGGTTGAAATTCTTCTGCTCTGTGCATTGGCTCAGAGTGTAGCATCGAAGCTCAGCACCTTCCATCCACAAAATGGTGTCTGGGTTATGTAGTATTACATACTCCTCATGGGTTTTAATTAAAATGCATTTGCCATCTTTGCTCACAGGTGTGATGTGTTCAGTCTCAGCTGCCCAGAAGGACGAGCTGGTCCTGGAGGGTAATGACATTGAGCTGGTGTCTAACTCAGGTATGTCTTTCCCACTGTTGAACTTCAGTTCTACGTTCCAGTGATGTTTTTTGTCCTCTACATTGGGATGAAATGAATGAAAACACTTCCCCTAAGAACCATTTTCATGCTTGAACACATATCTCAAGTGTTAAACATTCTTCTCAACTAAGTTGTAGCAATTTGTTGGTCATTGATTTATTTACAGGATTCCTAACACAATTATTCTAGTGGTGCTGTCTTGAAGCATAAAATGTGTAAAATACTTTCTTTTGTCAATCAAAAGAAGAATCTGTGTAATTGAAAGGAAGCACACAGATGAGAAGGCATCTGTTGGGAGCATGTGACTGACAGAAGCCTGGTATTTCCCTTGAAACTGGACTCTACAGTCTTTTTTTTACAGTCTTTTACAGTCTCTGCTGCAAGCTCTACATCAGTCCTGCAGCGTAGCACTTAATGCTACTAAATCCTGTTTTAATGTGTAGTGTCCCTCCCACTTCCATTCCTCCAAATAGATAATTATTCCCCTGAACTTTTTTGCCATTGTATTCAAGGAGAATAACACATTTCCTGTACAACAGTACAAATGTGCTCTTTACCACTGAGGTGCAGTGATAGTTGTGTTATTTATAAAGTATTGTGAAGCAGAAAATCAAAAAGTTTAACTTTTTGTGTGATGGATGTGAAATTTATGTCACCAACCTTTTTTGAAAATCATTAGTTAAGCAAAATCAGTTGGATGACTTTCCTGTTAGATTTGGCAACTGTTCAGACCCCTTTTTCAGAAAGGCAGCCTTTTGGGCACATCCCCACTCCTCTCTGTTGAGGACTGAGTATTTCTGGTTGCTTGCACTCTTCTGTTTGCAGTGTGTGGGACAGAACAGCTGTTGACCAGTCTGGTAGAAATGCAGCTGAGCTATGAATGTGCACACCTAATGACCAAATACTAATTGGGTGTAGAATTTTTATTTACTTATTTTAAATATGCTTTTTTTTAAACAACCAGTACTACGTTACTACTGAAGTATTTGCTATTCCCAAATTACTCTTTTTGGATCTGCTTTATTCATACATGAGTAGCACAGCAAATACAAACTAATAAATTGGTTGATGCCAGTTAAGTTTAGCTTAATATATGCTGTCATTTTTTAAAAGGTGTCTGTATATATAGTTAGTTACAAGCAGGTACAGGTTGCTTTCCAATCAAATGGTTGGCATATTTTCTAACGCTTTGTGACGTTAAACACTGATTTAACTCATCCGTAATGTCAACGGCACTCTTTTTAATGAGGAATATGATGAACAATAACACTGTCACTGCATCTCAGTTGAATTTTTCCTTTTACTTCGTCTATGTTATTACATTGTAAGATGTGTTCTCCGGCATCTTTACTTTTACAGTTGTGGTAGGTTTTGTCCACTGGTATACAGTAGTGTTTGTGAGCAGGTCATTGACACAGTTTTTAGTTTTTTTGGCTCTGTACTCCCACATCAATTGCCAGCACAATGACCCTAAACAAAGAAACATGCCTAGGCTTGTCTGGCTGAGTCCGTCACCTGACCTCAGTCCAGCCAATATCACACTGAAGGAAAAAAAAAGTCTTGCTTGAGCTGGAAACAAATACTACGACTGTGAGGCTTGATAGAACTGTACTAGGAAAGACAATTTATGGGATGTAGCCAGAAATTAGTAAATGTTAAACCTGACACATTGTGCTTTATTGCTACATCTTGTTAGCCTAAAGGTGGAGGCCTAGCTATAAAGATCACTACACTTTGTACACGTTTCTATGTGATATGATTGTAAATTATGTCCGACTCATACCTATTTGTCACCTAAAAACATTTTGGACTGTATTTAGCAGCCACATTTCTAATAGTTCAGAGTTTTGTTTGCGTTTTTCATCATTTACAACATATTTAATACATTTAGATGTACTCTACCTGTACTGGAATATGACGACCTTGTGCCTTTTACTTTTGCTGCATCGTTTAGCACATAGAAAGGAAATGGAGCATTAAATTAATATGCAGTCAACTGTTACAAATACAGGCATTAATATACATTCACAACTGCATTTCATGCTTCAAAGCTGCGAGCTGGACCAGAAAATATAAACCTGGGACATAAATATAGCACGGAGGGGGAGAGAAATGGGGTCTGAGACATGAGGCCTAGGGACCCAGTGGAGACACAAACGGGCTGATTAACAACAGATTGTCTCCTGTTGTTGCTGCTGCAGTGTGGGTTAAAATTACATTTGTTTTAAATAATGCACTGAATTGAGCCAAAACAAGAAAACTGATGTAATGCTTCCTGACTGCTCTGTATGTAGTTTCTCCTCCAGCTTTGTCTGTCATTACTGTGACCCATGTGATGTGATGTGATGTGATGTGATGTGCTACGCTACTTATCACCCCAACTTCTCTGTTCCAGCTGCTCTGATCCAGCAGGCCACCACAGTAAAAAATAAGGATATCAGAAAGTTCTTGGACGGCATTTACGTGTCCGAGAAGGGAACAGTAGTGGAACAGGATCAGTAACAGTTACATCTGCACTCGTAGAGGTTAGACAATGCCGCCGAAGCCGCCTTTGTGTCCTACAGGGGGACTGTCTGTTTTCTCATTCTGTGCACTTTCCTTACACTGCTGTCTCTGCTGTTTTCTGTTAATTGCTTCTTCTGTTTCAGAGATGTTTGTATTTCATGTTTCACTCAAAGCCTTGTGGCTCTAAATCAAAACCTTTTTATATGGTGTGTTTGGACTGGGCAATATGGTTAAGAACATTGTACCATCATTGTTTTACCAGTTTGTCTGATCATTATTAGTTATTGTTGTGGTTGTATCTGTAAAATACATGACTGCTACTGCATCTGTACAATGTCTATAATGACAACATAACAGGGCAGATGTATTTAACAAAGTTGTAAGTGCTCAGAATTTTGACTATTTTAAATTGCATTTAAAAATACTCAACTCAAGTTTTCAGCAGTCCGTGTTGTCAATTTTCTAATTAGATTTTTGTGTGTCATTGTGTCCAGTTTTAATAAAACCTGATTGTCTTTAGACTGATTGAATCTATAATTAAATCTATTATGGATTCTGAACTATTGCCCAGCCTTATGAGGTGTTGATTGCTTCACATGACCATGCATGTTTAATCTCGTTCTGATAATCTCCTCTTTCTTGGTCCTTATGTCATACGGGCTGTCGGGCCCTAATGTAGTTTAATCGCTTCGTTAAGCCGAATCCTGTTTCTGCATTCACACTCTGCTGTTCTGTCTGTTTCTAGCGGCCTTGATCCAACAGGCCACCACAGTCAGAAAGAAGGACATCAGAAAGTTCCTGGATGGCATCTACGTCAGCGAGAAGACCACTGTGGTGGAGCAAGAAGTAGAGTAAATGTTCACACTGTCCTGTTATGACCAATAAAACTACCACCTTTTCCAATTATTTTGGTCTCTGATACTTTTTGTTTGTATTTGACTTGCCCAGTTAAAGTGTTGTAAAACCTTTAGTTTTATTTGTGTGTCGATGGTTACATAAGTAAACAACAATAAAACATCCATACATTCAAGGGTTAATGTCATTCACTTATCTTGGACTTAATCTTTACATAATGTGTTGCTAGCTGTATAGTAAATGGAAACGTCTAATCTTTAGTGACAGTGAAATATGTTTACATTTTCAAAATTAGAACATTTCGGACTTGTGTCAAAAAAATATTGCCTGAAAACTCAAGTGTCAGAATTTGCCTGGGAATCGTGATGTTTTTAAAATTTCATTAGTCACAGTGCTTCACTGTTTCAGTTTTCAGTGAATCCAGTGGTTTAAAGCACATCCAACTATTAAGTAATTTGACAGTAATTTCCCCAAAACAAAGGCTTAAAGATGGGGCTCATGTTGCAGCTTGCAGTATAACCACAACAATATGCTTGTAATAGTTTACATTTGTTCACACAGGCAAAAAAAAAGTCAGTCAAAGCTCATTAATTCAGCAGGTAAAAATAAGGTTTGTTTTTTTAACTCAAAAACTTAATTTCCAAATTTTGCAGAAATGTAGATCTTCAATATAAAAGTATCATAATGTGCAAAGTTTGCGAAATTGTAGGTCTTCAACAAACAGAATAATCATAACATCACATAACTTGTCAGGGGGAATAGGAGTTTACAAGAAAATGCCAAAATGTTTACAAATATTCATTGTAAATATTTTTGTTGCCTTTTGATTAAGAGAAAACTTAATAGAGTCGATGTACTGCTTGACCTCACTGAAAAGCAATAAAAGAAGGTTTTCTATGTGTTAACTTACATTTGTGAATGTGGAATTTTGCCAACAGAATGATGAGATTAATAATAAATGTTTTATTAGGCTTTGTCTTATCTCTGTTAAAGTCAGAGGCCAAAAAGCACATCACTCCAAAACAACTTGAACTCTTTTTCAATGTTTCTGGCAATAAAATTACAAATACCGATCCAAAAGCTTTGGACAACAGGGCAGTGAAAAAACAAATAAGTAACTGTTTCAACATTCACAGAACATAAAGTGCATTTCACGTCAATGTCTCTTTTGAATCTTTTACCAATATGATCACTAGAAGGGTAAAACGTATGAATTATTTTAAACGAGATTTCTCTAACTTTGTTGGTCAACAGGTAGCGGTTGGGCAAGAGCCAGACCTTTTTCCAGTCAGTGTGTTCCACATGTTTATTCCAGTATGAAACCACATAAGGAACTGTGATGACGTCTGTTTTAAACAGGGATCTAATCAGTTTATTGTTCTTACCATTGTTGCAGGATAAACAGAGCTTACCAAATGAAGTGTCAGTCAGAGATAACAAGGGTGGTTGTTGGGTTTCCACTCTTGGTTGAGCTCTAAATAACATGCAAATACCAGAAGAAATTGCGCCAAAGACTTGTGCATTTTATTTTTGTTATTAAAAAAAACCTACTCGCACGCTGAGTGACGCATTGACGCAACCAACCAGCTGCGGATACGTCATCTCCAGGCGACCGCAGAGTCCAGCTTTGCGCGCGCCAAGCAGTTGAAGCAGTTCTTTTTTTACTTTTCTGACACCAAACGTTTTCAAAAACTGCAAGAAATCGTGTTCACGATGGTACGTTACACATTTAATCTATTTACCTGCTCCTTTATGAAGCTGTATATGTAAATAAAGTGGTTAAATAAAGAGAAGATATTCCTGTTAAACCTGGTCGTTGTAATTGAAGCGCAAGTGCGCACTGCAGAGTGTTAGCTGCAGCTAAAGAGGATAAACTTGTCAACCTGTTAGTTGAAGTTAGCGAGGAAAGGTTCAGCGAGGAGTACAGTGTGATCAGTTTTTGCTCTGTTATCGTGTTGTACTTGACATTTGTCTGCTGTTTTGTGAACAAAGTTAAAATAACGCACATTTTTCGGCGCAATTGAAGTCAGAAGCAGGGGCGCCTCCAGAATTTTTTTTAAAGGTTCATGGTGGCAAGATTGGCCCATTGAAGATCTTCGGAAACCAAAACCAAAAGGCCTATCTGAATATCAGGGATTATTATGCGGTTGTAGTGTAGAGGCTACTTGAAAACAATGTTGATATAAGAGTTAAGAAATCAAGTACTGCGTTCCTTTGGTTTGCCATTTTACAGTTAATGTTACTCATTAACTGATGCGCTCAGATTAAAACAGGTACATTTTGTTTATGTGGGTGATCACAGTTCAGAAGAGCCCAGAATAAGAGATGCTTCAGTGTATTTTAAGGGGAAATGTCTACCTAATAGGCAGAACATCCGTTGCTATTTTGTGATTTTAGTACTGAAAATTCTGTCTATTTGTAATGATAATTTATCAAACTACAGCCAGTTATGGTGCAATAGCGTGTGTGTGTGTGCGCGCGCGCGTGTGCGTGCGTGCGTGCGTGTGTGTGTGTGTTTAACCAGACTATATTTTGCTGTATTTTGGTTTTACTAATTAGAGAGATCACATTCTGCAATGCATCCCTTCACACAAAAATATCACCACTTCCTATATGTATTCCACTGAGAAATGCCAAAATCTCCCTAATAAGAAAACTTGATATGACAAAATAGTGTTGACTTTAGTAAACGGATCACACTTTCACAGTAAAATAATATCAAGCTGTGATAGAACTCTGTTTAACTAATGATTGAGCTGAAGCTGTCATGTTGTGTAATGCACACAGAGACACTACATGGATCTTGCTGCTCTCTTGTTGCCACAGGTATTCAATAAACTCAGAGCAACGACTCTGACCAGGTCTGTGTCTTTAGCTCCTTCAGCTGAAGGCACAATCTGCTCCCTCTGTGACGTTTATGGACAGCTCCACAGCCAACTGGATACTGCTACATGCTTAGCCATTGCAGCCATCAATCAATTCTGCTGGCATGTGCACTCTGACACTCTAGTGGATTCACTGAAATTTCGGCATAATAACTTGGGTGAATGAACTTGACCTATCAGATCTTGGATGGCCGTTGCCCTCTGTAAAATCACCAACTTGTTTTCGGTTTGTGAACGATAGTATAGAGCTGCAATCTGTGTGCTGACTCAGCAGTTTCTTTCTGCAATGTTGTGCTATTAACCTAACTCACATTTATCTGTGTGTGCACAGGACATTAGGCGGTTCTTTGCACCAACATTAGTGAAGCCTGTAGTGCAGAAACCAGCCTCGAATGGAAACATCAAACTAGAGGAGAAAAAGAAAAAGAATCCTCTGTCTTCCGATGAGGAGGTGAAAAAGAAAAGGAAGGAGACCACAAAGGCAAGGAAATTATGTTATCTCCTGCCCTCCTTCTTGGAATAAGTCATCTGTTTTTCCTCACATTGTTCATCTGGATTTATTTATTTATTTATTTTTAGGTCAAAAGCCCTAAAACAGAAGAGAAACTCAAGGATAGTGAGAAAAAACGAAAAAAGCATGCAGTCATAGTATCTGGTGAGTAGGAAAGTGTGATACTGTGTGATTTCCCTGCATCATCATGTAGTGTCCCTTGTTGTACTCTTGTTACAATCAAGTGACAGCATTGGGGTTTTTTTTAGAAATTATTTTTCAAGCATTCTTTAGAATATACAGTGCATTGTCTGAGAATGGCTGTTTTTCAGGTATTTCTTGGCTCATAATTAGACTGATCTGCTGTTTCATTACTGTACGACTGAGGTGTTTGAGTGGACTCAGAGGTCTCCAGAATCCTGACAGATTTAAATTGTTTTTCTAGAGTGCAGCATGTCTTTTTAAAAAAAATCCAAATATAAATGAAAATGTGGTATGTACTTGCTAATTTTGGAAGATATGTCAATGTAAATGCTTGTTTATGAAAATGCTGAATAACTGAGATTAACACAGGCATTGATAAATCAAACTTCCTATAAACCTAGATGCATTTTTACTGCCATCATACAAAGTGAATAAGGATATAAAAGTCTGTGTGACTTAGTTTTTGTGGAGCCTGAAAAACCTAAAAACCCTTTAAGGACTGTTAAATAACCTTTGACATTGCCAGGAATTTATTTTTCAGAGGAAGAAATGGATACATGAAATACTGCATAATAGCACACGTGGGCTGTTTTTTCATCAGCTGTCTTTTTTTTCAACATAACGTCCTTGTGTTTATTTTTGTTCAGACTCCGATGACGAGGAGCCTGTGAGCAAGTTAAAGAAATCCCCCCAAAACAAAGCGAAGACCACAAAGGCAGATCCGCCTCCTAAAAAAGATCCTGTGCAGTACGTCTCTGAAACAGGTGATGATTTATCATCATACTGCCAACATACATCCCTGAGCTGTGATTATTTGCCTCAGTAGTGATGAGTAGAAACATATGTTTTCAGATGTTTGGTTTATTTAGAAAAGACCTGTTTTAATAGCATTCTTCTCATATTTGTTTGCAGACTCGGACAGTGACAACTTTCAGTCTTTGAAGACGGTCTCCAAATCCAAGCAGAATGGCAATGCCAAGAGGACGAAATCAGAGACCGAGAGTGCTCGTCCAGGAGCCAAAGAAGAGTTGAAGTCTCCTTTTAAACCGTCCTCCTCGCAGGGAAAAACTCCACCTGTTCCTGTCACCCCGAAGTCAGCTCCACCTCCTACGCCCAAACAGACCCCCACCTCAGTCCTCGACTACTTCGGCAGTGGGACTATTCAACGCTCAGACAAGAAGCTAGTAGCCAGCACCAAACGAAAGGCAGTGAGTACTGATGAATGAATATTTCTCATCACTTCTAAGGTTGTCACAACCATGAAATTTTAGGTGACAATTAACTGTCTCTCAAATAATTACAATTAATGACGTAATTGTCTTTCTCTGTTCATTTCATGGCTTTGTTAGTTTAGATTAATGTCATTGGCGTCATTGACCACCACCTTTTTTCTGTAAAACTGGCTTAAAACCAAAATGTGTCCACAGCTGTTTGGCTTTAATCCATGACATGACTGCCAATAGATGCTCACT